TGTTCACCACTAAGCTATAAGTGCTATTGGTGGGATTAATGATATGTCTTGCTTGCCAGTTTCCTACATGTATCTGGTTGGCCAGGATGTGGAACTAGATGGACCGTTTACCTGATCCAGGAGGCACTTATGTTCTTATGTGTGCCACAAATCTGCCAGGAGACATTCAAATCTAAATTATACTCAAACAAGACTCAAGAGCATCTTATGGAGAACTGTTTCCAAAAATGACAGAGACTTAAAAATAAAAAAAAACACATTGTAAATGTCCTCATATGAGTAGCTACCTAAAAAGGGGGGGTGGGAAGCACCCCATCTTGTTCTGTTCTGCTGAAATGCAAAACAGCAAAAATCATTCCAGTAGCCCTTCTTATTTTTTTTCTCCCTTTAACAATTGGGATAAATCTGATAAGCCTTAGATTTATAAGGTGACCCCACAATTACTTCTGACTTTTTTTTCTCGAGCTTGGGAAGACAAAGGACTCATAATACTCTTTGCTGTCTCATATAGCTGGTTCAGGCGATCTATCAAGTGGCTCACTCAAGGAAATAATTGCTCTGACCAGGTGAACTTTCTTTCACCAAATTTTTGCCTGAAGTGATACCTGAAGCACAGTTGGAGGTTCCTCCCCAGGTCAAACACCAGAGGAACTCTAGAGCAAAGCCATATATTTGTATGTGTATTGTTCAATTTGGTGGTGTACTTTTGTTCCTATTGAGGGTGTTTGATGAGCCAACATGAGAGGGATGAGGGATTGAGGATTGAAGTAGTCATTCTGTGGTATTATGGCAGTGGCCAAAGGTGAAGCGTAACTTTTGAATAAATGTGTTTTTAATAAAAGTAGGGATAAGAGCACACAGGCTCCCTTTACCACAGTGTTGTGAAAATTGTTGGTTTTTTGAATTTGTTTAAAGGAAAAAGTGTGGAAATATAGGCTGTCAGACCTTTAAAACATCCCCTTCTAAGTTACTCCCAAAGTTCCCCACTTCTCTAAGCATAGAAAGAGACCCATTTGGTAAGTTAAAAATGGTTTACTTACAAACTCTTCAAAAGTCAGATTCATGTGCTTTACTATACAGCAGTAAGAACACAGGCAATATAACTAAGGTTCCAAAGTGGTAGATGTTTCTAAATTATTTGTATAGAAACACAAGGATGGCTTGCTTAAGCCACATGGTTTGGACTTGGAGCAACCAGCCCAGACCTCCTTCTTGGTAGGGTTCACATGGTGGAATATGAAGAACAAATCTTGATACCTCTTCCTAAGTAAGACTGACAGGACAGCTTACTCTATGGTTTTAACTCCTTCATGCGTTAATTAGATTTAAGCATGTTGGTTATATAAGGGCTGATTCTCCAATAAAAATAAACAGGTTTTGTGTGCTCTTATCCCTGCTTTAAAGGTAAAGGTAAAGGTACCCCGACCGTTAGGTCCAGTCGTGGACAACTCTGGGGTTGCACGCTCATCTCTCTCTATAGGCCGAGGGAGCCAGCATTTGTCCACAGACAGCTTCTGGGTCATGTGGCCAGCATTGCAAACCAGAGCAGTGCACGGAAACGCCGTTTACCTTCCCGCTGGAGCAGTACATATTTATCTACTTGCACTTTGACGTCCTTTGACCACAGTGCCACCCGCGTCCCATCCCTGCTTTAAGGTAAAGGCAAAGGGACCCCTGACCATTAGGTCCAGTCGTGACCGACTCTGGGGTTGCGGCACTCATCTTGCTTTATTGGCCGAGGGAGTCGGCGTACAGCTTCTGGGTCATGTGGCCAGCATGACTAAGCCGCTTCTGGCGAACCAGAGCAGCACACGGAAATGCCGTTTACCTTCCCGCCAGAGCGGTACCTATTTATCTACTTGCACTTTGACGTGCTTTCAAACTGCTAGGTTGACAAGAGCAGGAACCGAGCAACGGGAGCTCACCCTGTCGTGGGGATTCGAACCGCCGACCTTCTGATCGGCAAGTCCTAGGCTCTGTGGTTTAACCCACAGCGCCACACGCGTCCCTGCTTTATAGGTGGGCAAATGGCACACTTAGTTCTAACATGGCTGTTAGTCGGAACCATGGAGGCTCTGAAGACAATGCCTCAATGCCTTCTTTGCCTCAGTCTTCTCCGATAAAGAAAACAATGCCCGACCTGAAGAATTTGAAGCAAATGATTCAGCAAAGGAAACACAGCCCAGAATAACTAAGGAGATAGTACAAGAATACTTGGCTAGTTTAGATGTATTCAAGTCTCCAGGGCCAGATGAACTGCATCCAAGAGTATTAAAAGAACTGGCAGATGTGATCTCAGAACCACTGGCAGTCATCTTTGAGAATTCCTGGAGAACAGGCGAAGTCCCGGCAGACTGGAGGAGGGCAAATGTTGTCCCTATTTTCAAAAAGGGGAAAGAGAGGACCCAAATAATTACCGCCCAGTCAGTCTGACATCAATACCAGGGAAGATTCTGGAGCAGATCATTAAGCAAACAGTCTGTGAGCACCTAGAAAGGAATGCTGTGATCACCAATAGTCAGCATGGATTTCTGAAAAATAAGTCATGTCAGACTAACCTGATCTCGTTTTTTGACAGAATTACAAGCCTGGTAGATGAAGGGAACGTAGTGGATGTAGCCTACCTTGATTTCAGCAATGCATTTGACAAGGTGCCTCATGATATTCTTGTAAAGAAGCTGGTAAAATGCGGTCTTGACTATGCTACCACTCAGTGGATTTGTAACTGGCTGACTGACCGAACCCAAAGGGTGCTCATCAATGGTTCCTCTTCATCCTGGAGAAGAGTGACTAGTGGGGTGCCACAGGGTTCTGTCTTGGGCCCGGTCTTATTCAACATCTTTATCAACGACTTGGATGATGGAACTCAAGGGCATCCTGATCAAATTTGCAGATGACACCAAACTGGGAGGGGTGGCTAACACCCCAGAGGACAGGATCACACTTCAAAACGACCTTGACAGATTAGAGAACTGAGCCAAAACAAACAAGATGAATTTTAACAGGGAGAAATGTAAAGTATTGCACTTGGGCAAAAAAATGAGAGGCACAAATACAAGATGGGTGACACCTGGCTTGAGAGCAGTACATGTGAAAAGGATCTAGGAGTCTTGGTTGACCACAAACTTGACATGAGCCAACAGTGTGACGCGGCAGCTAAAAAGCCAATGCAATTCTGGGCCTCATCAATAGGAGTATAGCATCTAGATCAAGGGAAGTAATAGTGCCACTGTATTCTGCTCTGGTCAGACCTCACCTGGAGTACTGTGTCCAGTTCTGGGCACCACAGTTCAAGAAGGACTCTGACAAACTGGAACGTGTCCAGAGGAGGGCAACCAAAATGGTCAAAGGCCTGGAAACGATGCCTTATGAGGAACGGCTAAGGGAGCTGGGCATGTTTAGCCTGGAGAAGAGGAGGTTAAGGGGTGATATGATAGCCATGTTCAAATATATAAAAGGATGTCACACAGAGGAGGGAGAAAGGTTGTTTTCTGCTGCTCCAGAGAAGCGGACACGGAGCAATGGATCCAAACTACAAGAAAGAAGATTCCACCTCAACATTAGGAAGAACTTCCTGACAGTAAGAGCTGTTCGACAGTGGAATTTGCTGCCAAGGAGTGTGGTGGAGTCTCCTTCTTTGGAGGTCTTTAAGCAGAGGCTTGACAACCATATGTCAGGAGTGCTCTGATGGTGTTTCCTGCTTGGCAGGGGGTTGGACTCGATGGCCCTTGTGGTCTCTTCCAACTCTATGATTCTATGATTCTATGACAAATAGAAACTTCACCTTGGAGATATCTAGAGAGTCTGCCTATTCCTTGCTACACACAGCCAGTCTGAAACTTTACAAATTGACTGCCCTTCCTGCTATAAGAGACTGTGGGACCTGTATCCTTTGTCTGCTGCAATGTCCTGCTGTCTCCCTTCTTTGAACCTGGCAAAATGGGCAAATGCTTGTTAACCTGCCTCTAATGTGAGCGCTGAAAGAATGTACAAATACAACATCATCTTATCTTTGAAGGGCCCAACAAATAAACGAGCTCTTACCTAGACCGCAGGCTAAAGCATTAGTCTATAGTCAGGCATTTCATTGGTAAATGAGTGTACAATAGCAACCAATATACTTGAGGACGGATTGGAGTAATTTTCTCTGTGTGTGTGTATGTGTGTGTGCATTTGTGGAGAGGGAAAAGGACAGAGTCAGCTCAGCTAGCCTGAAAGCAGTTAGACTGCTACCCCAAGGAAATAAAATACTGAGTGACCACAGAATAACTTACAGCATTGGATGTGCCTTGACCCCTATCCAGAGGATTGCTGTGGGGCTACCCTGCAGAAGGGGTTCCTTAAATACTTCAGGCTCCATGGGGGAATAAACTCAAAATCAGTGGATCTTCACAGTTGCCTTTTATATTCCTCTTTATCTACATCCCCTTTGTTGTTCATTAGTCCTTCTGGTGAGTTACTCAGATGGGCCAATCGTCAGGGTTTGTTTTTGTTTTTTATAACCGATTAGAGAGAATTTTGAATGCTTGGGGAATTAAATCTTTGCAAATTTGTATTTGAAGTGCCATAATCTGAGCTGTCCAGATTAGCATGCAGATCAGAGTTCGTTTACCTATCGGATTGTGTTAAGTTGGCTATATCTTATCTGGAGGTCAGCCAATCTGGAAATCAGCTAATAAGCTAATATTGCACACTCACATAGTTTCGTCAATACCAGTGGTAGTTTTAAAATTCTTATTAAACCTATTTGTCTCTCTGTGTGTGTTTATTTTATTTTTATTGACCGCTCTTATGGCCCTTCAATGTGATGTCTGTTGATTTAAAGCAGAGTCTGGTGCCCAGCGGAAGGATGAGGAATACGTGCTACATACTCTATATTGCTTTATTTATAGTTCAAAGCTGGTATATTACAGAAAGACATCTTGCCTCTGCCGGAGCAGAAAATGCATCCTCTCTCCTCGACAGCTCGGAGAGAATCACACAGAGAAAACAGGAAACCAGTGTACGTCACATCCAGTCTCCCTTTCCCGTGAGAAACTCCAACAGTACAGACTGTGGAATGTAAACACCTGTCTCGTGACAAGCAGAGCTGCACAGTGAAGGAAAGCAGAAACCAACATCCTCCCCCTTTCTGTGAACATCACTGGGCAGCGTGTTCGTACAGTATCAGTACAAACCCAACCTCTGCACATAGGTACAGTGTTGATCCCTCGATACAATCTTGGACAATACATCAGCAGGAATTTCATTACCTGGCATATAGGACACTGTTACGAGTCCCTTCTGAATACATTCCCTAGCATGCTGCAACTTTAATTGCAAGTGCTTTGTGCTTTGCTTACAACCTTCAGACTTCAGCAAAGCCAAACATGCTTTGTTGTCCTGGTAAACCTGGATTGGACATTTGACAGGAATTTTCATATCTTTGCACAATTGTACTAACCATTCACAATCCTTAAGTGAATAAGACAGTGCATTCAGTTCAGCTTCACAAGTACATAAGCTAACTGTTGTTTGCTTCTTGCATGACCAATCAAACAGACTCTGATTGTACATGTAGCAAACTCCAGACGTACTTTTCCTGTCTGTAGCGTCACTTCCAAAACTTGCATCTGCAAATATCTCAAGACCACCAGACTTCTGATTGTTAAATCTCAGTCTGTAATGCATAGTGCCTTTCAAATACCGCGCTATGCGTTTCAGAGCTTTCCAATCCTTGACACTAGGATTGTTGACTTGTCTGCTTAGCAAATTACAGCTAACAGCAATGTCTGGTCTTGAACATCTGGCAATGAAGTTTAGCTTGCCTAGCACACTCCTGTACAGTGTAGTGTCTACAGGGTTAGCATCCATCAGATTTAGTTTGCTTAACACCTCAGCAATTTTCCGTGACTGGTGTACTAGAATGTTACCATCTTGATCTCTCTCTATTTCCAGAGATAGGTAGTTGTTTACCTCACCAAGATCTTTCATGTCAAAGTGCTCTTTCAGTTGAGCTAGGGCGTTATTGTACATTGCAACATCTTTCCAAAAGAATAATAAATCATCAACATAAAATAAACAGTACAGTTTTGTTTTTTTTTTGCCCCTCCTCTTTGACAAATACACATGGATCAGCTTTCCCTTGCTGAAAACCTAGAGAAAACAATACTTCAGTGAGTTTTGTGTGCCAATACCGTGCACTTTGTTTGAGACCATAAAGGGATTTCTTCAGAGCACAAACAAATCCCTGTTTTACCTGTACGCCATCAGGTGGAAGCATATAAAGTGATTCATCTAGAGATCCGTACAGAAAAGCTGTATTAATATCATGGTGACTAATGTGTAGATTTTCCTCTGCAGCTAGCTTGAGCATAAGCCTAATGCTTTCATATCTCACTGTGGGTGAATAGGTCTCGTGATAGTCTTGACCTGGTACCTGTGCAAAACCTCTGGCTACCAATCTGGCTTTGTGTCTGACTATCTTGCCATTTTGATCTGTCTTCGCTTTGAAGACCCATTTGCTTCCAAGCAGTTTCATTCCTGGAACTACTGGAACTAGCTCCCATGTTTTGTTCCTTTCTAAGGAATCAAGCTCAGCCTTCATGGCATTTAACCATGGCTCAGCTTCCTTTGAATCCAAACCCTGGATTTCTTGGAAACTTGAAGGTTCAAATACCTTCTTGGAGCTTTTAACAGCTGTTACTGCTATCTTAGCAAACTCATCAGCAAATCTCTTTGGAGGTTTGCCTTTTGTGGCTCTCTGTGACCTACGAATTAGCCTTAAGTCTTCAACACTCTCCTCTTCCTTCTTAGGAGAAAAATGACCTATTGTGAACAATGGTTCCTCCAATTCTTGATCAGAGCTTTCAGAGGGTCGCATAGAGGCTTTCGCACTCTCGAAATCCTCTGAATCACCCGATTCAGTTTCAGATTCAGACTCAGAACCTTCATCAGTGGGTGTGGGCTGTTGTGGTTGCTTTGACTATCCTCAGTCTCATCACCGTCATCAGGATAACATTGGAAAATTCCCACATTCTCCCCCACTTTGCATTGTACTCGACACTTCTCGTGAGCTTAATTGTCTTAGAGTCAGTCATCATTATTCTGTAAGACCCTTTCTGATAACCTAGAAAGATACCATGCAATCCACGCTTGTCTAACTTGGAGTTTTGTGGTGAGCGAACCCACATGTCAGAACCAAAAATCTTCATGTGTTTGATGTATGGCTTCTTGCCAAACATCTTCTCATAGAAGTACAACCAATCGCTGAAGATAACCTGCGATTGTAACTGTAAACAAAACACGAGAGAGATTCGGCCCAATAACTCTCTGAAAGATTGGCATCATGCAGCAAGGATTTTAACCCTTGAAGCAGTGTCTGATTTGCCCGTTCCGCAAGTCCATTCTGCCATGGCGAGCGAGGACTAGACAAATCGTGTTGAATTCCTTTCTCAGTCAGAAAAGCTTCAAACTGCTGAGAAGTGAATTCCCCAGCGATCACTGAAAAGAGTCTTTATCTTCTTACCATGCACATTTTCCAACCAAGCACAGAATTCCTTGAACCTAGGAAAAGCCTCCGATTTCTGCTTGAGATTGTACACAAAAATATATCTAGAAAATGCATCAATGAGAACCATGAAGTATCTATTTCCACCCAAAGAGGGCGCTAGTGGTCCAACCAAATCAGCATGAACAACCTGGTATGGTTCTGTAGCTTTCCTACTAGACACCTTACCTTTCGCAGCCATTTTCACTTTGTTTGCTGCGCATGCTTTGCACTTCATGTGGTACCTGCAGGGTTTAATAGTCATACCTTCAACCAAGGCAGGCATTTTAGATACTGCCTCAAAATGCAAATGACCAAATTTTCGATAAAAATCGTGAATACATTCTGCATGCAAACTTTTGTTAGAACCTGCAATGCAACAAGTGTCATCCTGCACCACATCATCATAATACAAAACAAACAAATGATCAACATATTCTGCATGCAATACATAATCATTTTTCTTTGTGATGATGCACTTCTTGTTCTTGAAGGAAACATCAATGTTCCGCTCATTCAGCTGTCCAACGCTGAGCAGATTATGTTTGGCGTCTGGCACGTAAAGCACATTCTGTATCGATAAGTCCAAACTGTGAAGAACAACAGTTCCGTAGCCTTTACTGGGAATAGTGTGGTCATCCGCCTGGTGAATCGCACCTTCCTGCGGTGTAAAAGACACAAACAGTCTCTTATCGTTGCACATGTGGTGGGTGGCCGCTGAATCAACAATGAAGAAAGATCTAGACGTCTTCTGGACCTCTGCAACCTTTGGAGTGAAGCGTGAAACCATAGCCTTGTGCTGCGTTGTCCTAGACACCGGACCTTTGCCTTTGCCTCGGCCTTTTCCGCGCGATGAGCTTTCGCTGCGCTGCTCTGTCTTGGCCCTGGGATGTCTGCATTCCCTCTTCATATGGCCTAGACGTCCACACGAGTAGCATTTCACTGCCTTCAAAGCTTTGGCGCCATCTGGTGGTTCCACTGCACTATGGGATGACGTCTGTGAAGACTCCCCCTTGCCCATGCAGCTAGCACCCGGCGATCTGCTTCATTTAAAATCACGGCAGTAACAAAGTCCACTGTCAGCTGAGCAGTTGGTTGCACAGCAATCTGGGTTGCAACAGACTCCCAACCTGAACCCAAAGATTGTAGTATCATGAAAGAATACACAGCCTCTGGAAAGTTGAGTCCTCTCTGTTGCAGCTCATGTCTCAGATTTTGCATCTCCATCAGATGTAAACGCACATCTCCACCTTCAGCAAGAGCCATATTGTGCAGCTTGTTAAAGTAAAACATAGTGGATCCAGCTTCTGTCCTTAAGTGAGCCTCTCTCAAAGCGTCCCAAATTTCTCTGGCTGAGGTCTTATCACGCAATAGACAGAGCTCTTCTGGGGATACTATCAATGTAAGAGTTCCCCTTGCTTTGGAATCCTTAGCTTCCCATGCATCTGTAACTGGAACTGGGGGTTCCTGTAATCACCTCAAACAAACCCTCTTTCCGCAGAATTGCCTCTGCATACTGAACCCAGTCGGCTATAATTTTTCTTGTTGAGCTTAGGAATCCCACAAGCATCCTGAAGGGCCATCATGACTCTGGCATTAGCCTTCAGCGTCATATATGCTGCTTTAATTCTTGCTGCGTCACTGCTGCAGCTGCCTTATTACAAGGCGCACTTAAAAGTTACTTTCGATTTCCCCAGCATAGTGACTTGTGCCTGGGAGCCTTTTGCCTATTCCCGGCAAAACCGGCTTTAAAAGTTCAAAGTCCAGCCATAAAGCCATTAACTTGAAGCTGGCAGGCTGCCCGGAGCAGTAGCACATACCTCATCAATCACTTCTACGCGCAGAGCAGATTCCGTTGCGATCTGTTCCTCTGCATTCCGATCCTTTGCCGGCACTCCGATTCGACTTCTGGAGCCCATAACCACGTGTTGATTTAAAGCAGAGTCTGGTGCCCAGCGGAAGGATGAGGAATACGTGCTACATACTCTATATTGCTTTATTTATAGTTCAAAGCTGGTATATTACAGAAAGACATCTTGCCTCTGCCGGAGCAGAAAATGCATCCTCTCTCCTCGACAGCTCGGAGAGAATCACACAGAGAAAAACAGGAAACCAGTGTACGTCACATCCAGTCTCCCTTTCCCGTGAGAAACTCCAACAGTACAGACTGTGGAATGTAAACACCTGTCTCGTGACAAGCAGAGCTGCACAGTGAAGGAAAGCAGAAACCAACAATGTCATGATGCTGAAAGGATTTTCATAGCCTCCAAGCCCACCCACCCCCATATATCCATATCCATAAATATATAAAACACAAGTTTCTGAATGCTCGCATAGCTTCCCTGCTGTGATACTTTGATGCCAGAAGATTGTGTGTTCATGGTTTGTGTGTTAGTTACTGGCTGCTCTCGTGGGTATCCAGCTGTAATACTGCAGTTCCAAAAGGGCTTTTGGAACCCCCAACCCCTTCAAATGTGCTCATTTTCTTGTTCTTTCGTGGTTTAAAGTAATTTTGCTGACTGTTTGCATAGGAATACAGTATTGAGAACTATACTCTTCTACTTTGGCCACACCAGCTTTGACCTAGAGTTGGCCTATGTGTCAGTGTAACCCTTGCACCTGAAAAGGCTTAGTCATTCCACTCTGCAACCTTTCCAACAAGAAGTGTAATAGAGAGATGAAGGGACCCGTGGCACATTTTAAATCATTTTGGTAGGATTTTGGAACCAAGAACTGTATTGTAAAATTTGGAGAAGTACACAATCCAATCTGTGCAATAGTCTGGGAGCGCGCAAATTGGATCAGTTTGCTTAAAAATGCAGAAGGAACAAAATTATCCTCTGTCCCAAGAAGCCACCACATATCTTTCCAAAATCAGAATTCTCCCCACTGAAATGTACTACTTTCATTAGGAGATCAGATATGTTGCAAAGGTACAGTGGTACCTTTGGTTACTAACTTAATTCGTTCTGGAGGTCTGTTCTTAACCTGAAACCGTTCT